CTCCTATCACAGATCTTTTACCCCCTCTACCATATCACCCTTTCTAGCACAAATCCTCTTCCCCCCTCACAACACGAATTCCCCCAAATTGCCACTCCTAGCACAACTCCCCAAATTTCTCCTAGAACTATTCTTACCCCCTGCCGCCCCAAATTCCCCTTCCTAGAACAATTCTTACCCCCTAACTGCCCAAATTCCGCCTCCTAGAACAGTTGTTACTCCCTGCTGCCCCCAAATTCCTCACCTCACATAATACCACAGTGCCCTGGGCAGCCTCCCTTCCTGCCCACCCCTTGTCCCAGCCCTGCAGCATTCCAGCAGTGGCTAAAATATTTCGAATTAGCCTCTAGGAAGAGTTTCTAAAACCAAGGCATTTGTATCACAAAAGTAGAAGATTTTACAAAATATCTCTGACAAAGTTGTTTGGTCCAAAACTGGAAACTACAGGACAGATCCTCCAATTGTAAAATGTGGTCTCAGTTTCTGTAGTTCTTTATTAAATTGGAAACACAAAGAAGCTGAAAGATAGCAAGGCCCATCAATTGCTTCATGAGTGTGTGGCTGTTCTTAGGAGTCTGTGTAATACTCTGTTTCTTGGCATCATGATTGTTCCTGCAGAATACATCAGTTATTTTTGACACTCTGTAACTGATCCCTAGACAGTTCATTCATATTATGTGCAGGGAGCAGAAAAAGCATGCCAATTGCTATGCTGTTTGGCAGTCATTACATGTCAAGGGCCTGCGATTTATTGCATCTAAGTGGAGAAGCTTCTTTTAAGGAAAGCTGTACAGAGAGAAATATGTAGGCTGCAGTTACTGACCACATCTTCTAATAACAGCTGAACAGAATGTTTCCTTTTAGTAATCCTCTATATGTGTTTTATGTTGTAAACAGGTATATCGTTAATGTTATTCTGTATAGACAGCTGCTTTCAACTAGGGTTCCTCTAGAGCAGGGGTCTCCAAACATTATAAACAAAGGACCAATGTACTGTCCTTCAGACTTATGGGGGGCTGGACTGTGGCCATTGGGAGAAGAAAATGTCCTGGCATCAGTGAGAGTAAACAATGCCTCACCATTGGTATTAACGGGAGATATAGCACACTATCACTGGTATCAATAGCATGATTAGTTTCCCATTGTTGGTGCCGGTGGGAGCAATAGTTTCCCATTGTTGGTGTCAGTGGGAGGAATAGTTTCCCATTGTTGGTGTCAGTGGGAGGAATAGTGTCCCATTGCTGGTGTCAGTGGGAGGAATTGTGACCCATCATTAGTGTCAGTGGGAGGAATAGTGCCCCATCATTGCTGTCAGTAGGATGAATAGTGCACTATCATTGGTTTCAGTAGGAGGAATAATGCCCCCTTATTGGTGTCAGTGGAAGTGATAATGCCCCATCATTGGTGTCAGTGGGAGGAATAGTGCCCCATCATTGGTGTCAGTGGGAGGAATAGTGCCCCATCATTGGTGTCAGTGGGAGGAATAGTGCCCCATCATTGCTGTCAGTAGGAGGAATAGTGCCCTATCATTGGCTTCACTAGGAGGAATAATGCCCCATTATTGGTGTCAGTGGAAGGATGAGTACCCGGTCATTGGTGTCAGTGGGAGGAATAGTGCCCTATCATTAGTGTCAGTGGGCGGAATAGTGCATTATCATTAGTGTTAGTAGGAGGAATAGTGCCCTATCATTGGTGTCAGTGGGAGGAATAATGCCCCAAGATTGGTGTCAGTGGGAGGAATAATGCCCCATTATTGGTGTCAGTGGAAGGAATAATGCCCCATTATTGGTGTTAGTGGAAGGAATAATGCCCCATTATCTGTGTCAGTGGAAAGAATAGTGCCCCATTGTTTGTGTCAGTGGCAGGAACTATGCCCCACTGTTGCTGATGGTGGGGGGAATAATGCCCCAAGGGCCGGATAAAAGCAAGCAAAGGGCTGCATCCAGCCCCCCCGGGCCACAGTTTGGAGACCACTGCTCTAGAGGTTGCTTGGGGTTCCTTGAGCTGTAGCATCTATCATTATCATGCCTGCGTAGTTCAGGTGCCACTTGCTACTTGTTAAAGCAAATAGCATGATGCTAAAGATCTTTTTTTAATATTCTTTACATGGACCCAAAAGTGAGGGGCATGCTTCTTCTTATTGACTCTAAAGTAAGGGTGCCCTTCTCCCACTCACCTCTAATGAAATGCTGCATTCTTTTCACTATCTGCCAGCATGGGCGTTCTTCCTCTCACTGAGCACAGGTATAAAGAAGCCCCTTTCTCACTCACCATCATGTACAGAAGTCATATCTCCACTGACCACCAGTGTAAAGGAGGCATTGCTTCAATGACCACCAGTGTAACAGAGGCATTTCACAAATTATCACCAATGTAAGGGAGGCATTTCTCCACCGACCACCAATGTAAGGAAGCATTGCTCCAATGACCACCAGTGTTATGGAGGAATTTCACCAACTATCACCATTCCAAGGGAATTATTTCTCCACTGACTACCAATGTAAGGAGGCATTGATCCAATGTAAGGAGGTATTTTACCACCAATTACCAATATAAGGAGGCATTTTTCTAATGGTCACCAATGTAAAGGAGGCTTTTCTCCACTGACCATTGATGTAATGAGGTGTTTCTCCACTGATCAACAATGTAAGGATATGGGAAAGCAGAAAGAATGGTGCCTAAACCCTAGCAATATGCTATTTGTATAGGAATTTGTGGTGGTATTTGGACAGAATATTTGGATTCTCATCCAGTAGCTTTTCAGTACCAAAGGCTTTCCATTTTCCTTGATTTATCCCTCCAACCAGCTGATGACAGACCCTTTACTAGTCCTGTCAAAATTCTGTTTACATCTGCTGTTTTGTCTTGTACACGTCATGCTCCGTATTTCAGCCCTCATAAAGGAGCCTATTTTGAGGCCTGAAACATGTTGGCTCCATCTATCCAAATTTATAATGGAATAAATGTATACCTGTACAATTAATTTCTGGTGTGGCACTTTAGCCTCAGTTTTACCAATGTAAGGAGGCATTTCTTCACTGGTTGCCAGTGTAATGGAGAATGTCCAAGTTTCTTTTTGGGACACTAATATATTTATTTTTCATTTTCTTTAAGTGATTGTTACTGAATATTATATATTTTATATAGAGCAGGAGGTGGTAAAACATTTTCTTCCTTTGGTGCCAAAAACTCTTGACCTACCACATTTTTTCTTTTTATTGTTATATCTCTAACTTTTGATGTTACTAACGTACCACAAGCTGTAGATTCCTAATATAGAGGTCTAGTCAAAACATTATTTTTTTTATAATGAACAGAAACGATTAAACCTATGGGTTTTTTTTTTATTGCTATTATCCTATTGAGGATATTTTGCTTCACTGCCAGGATGCAAAAGCCCCCCTTTGGATCACTTTTTCCATATGTTGAGGTTTGTATATCTACAGTATATCATTGGGACCTATTCTTGTAGAAATGCTAAAATCGTCCATCTCTGAGATTATTACTGTATATACTGTATATGTAACAATGCTGCATTTACGTATATATTGAATGTATTTTTCCCTTACTTTGTATTTCCTGTGATGATTTTAGGCTATTGGTGCAAAATACTCAAATTAGCCTAATTCTCTGTCCGAAAGTCAAGTTGGCAAAAAGATTTAAAGTATAACAAAAGGCAAAACCTTTTTTGTTTTTAGTTTTGGAGAGAGTGGAGAGGGATTAGAATCCCTGTCAGTTTTTATTGCTGTCTATGTTCCTGAAAGGGAAATTCACCCTCTCAATTTGTCTTGTTTACCATTATCATTGAAAGTAAATGAAAATCCCAAATTTTGGGGTGTCCCCAGAAAAGCAATAAAGGGGAATTCTTAAAATGGAGGCACTAGTTCTGATAATTCCCTTAATTTGCAGGGATTTCCTCTCACTTCCTGTTTTGGCTATGGGCCAAAGGGACAAGGATGGCAAAAATTAACCATACAGGATTTATAACCCTCCATTACTCCAAAACGTAAACAGTTTTGCCTATAGTTCTTTAAAGTTTAAAGTCCTATTACTTTTTTTAGAGTGATATCATATCATCTTTCAGCATTCAGTAGAGAATACTTTAAATTCTACTTTGCAAAGCAAGTGAATAAGTAAACAGAGTGCTCCTTTTATATTGCCCCAGCTCCAGAAATGGAGATCCAATGTCTCAAGTAGATAATTTTTTTTTTTTTTTTTGTATAAATAGAATTGTAACTTTTTTTTTTTTCATTCAAATTGGCAGGGTCAAAGAAGTGTCGCTTTATACTGTCAACTGTGCCCAGACTCTGGATATTAAAATATTTACATTTTCTTAACAGGCAGCAAAAGAAATATACAATCTCTTAGATTGTAAACTCTAACGAGCAGGGCCCTCTGTTTCCTCTTGTGCCAAATTGTATTGTAATGTCTATCTTCATTTTGTAAAGCGCTGCACAAACTGTTGGCACTATATAAATCCTGTATAATAATAATAATAAAATGTGCCATCTCTGATCTCTATAAATATTCCGGTAAATAGGACCCGGTGATCATGTGATTGCTATGCAATCACAATGTTAACAAAGCTGTCATGAATCAATCTGATTCATAACAGCTCTGCTTTTCTTCCTGGTGAGCTGCGATTGGCCCACAGCTCTCACATGATACATGGGGACAATCACAGCACCCTCTATCATGTGACCAGCTCCAGCCAATCACAGATCACTATTATTTTGAACTGTTACAAACTTAATTCATTCATGAGAGTTCAAAGCAAGCTTTGCAATGAAGGTGCAATAATCTTTATTGTTCCTGCAAAGCAAAGTGTAAAAAAAAATCCCTGATCACCACCCCAGAGTAGTACAATGTTACTATGGTAACATTGTACTACTCTGATAAAAGTATTTTAAAAATAAATAAATAAAAAATACCATATTGAGAATTAAAAAAAAAAAAAAAACGTTTCAGTACAAACATACTTTGACTTTCTTCTATTTCAGATCTTCTTCCTCCGGGTGTGTGCAACCTCCTGAACCTGCAACCATATGTTCAAACAATGAAATCAGTCTAGCAGACATTGAAATCTATGGATTTGACTATGATTATACTCTGGCTGAGTACTCCAGTGAACTACATAAAATGATATTCAACACCGCCAGAGATATCCTCATCAAGCATTACAAGGTGATGGCAGATAAAATATCATGCACACTCACAGATGATATTCTGCCTATTTTGGTAGGATGAAGCAATACATGTGATATCTGAGTGACAGCTGAGGCATCAGATCACATCTTGACTACAAAAAGATGTCTATGGAGTTTCTCAGCTAACAGATTATTTGAATAAACTGACATTAGCTGCTTCTGTTTTGCACTCATAGAAAACAGCATTCCTTTTGGGCTGCCAAGATGTCATTTGTTAGTCATTTTGTTTTCCATAATGTGACTGTTCTCTAACTGGAGCTCATACATACCAAAATTATATACAGTAGCTGTGTTCTTGGACCTGCATTCATTAGGTTGCCTGAAAACTAGTCATCACTTTTTATGTAGTTGAATATCACTCTCATTGTAATTCAGCACTCTGCCTCTGTGTCACAGAAGTTTGGGACTTCCTATGAAGCACAACCTGGTCATGTGTTCATCAGAGCCCCTAGTGGTGCGGGTGTTGCACTACTAACATTAAAGGTGCTACTTGAATGTTACAGCAAACTAACAGACATCTAAACATGTTACTAAATCACAAAACAAAATCATGGTTATATAGGCATGTGGTAGAGGCAGGTGGCAGACAGAAACATGGTCAAGCAGATGAAGAGTAATGGCAGGTTATAGAGAGAAAGCTGGGTTCAAAGTGTCGGCTGAAGTTCAGACATCAGTTTACATGTTCTCCCTGTGCCTGTGTGGGTTAACCCTCGGTACTCTAGTTTTCTCTCACAATCCAAAGACATGCTGGTAGGTTAATTGGCTCCTGTCTAAATTGGCACTAGTATGTGTATGTTGAATGTGAGTTAGGGACCTTAGATTGTATGCTCTTTGAGGGTTAGGGACTGATGTGAATGTACAATATATATATATATATATATATATGTGCTGAGTAAATTGACAGTGCTATATAAGTACCTGTAATAAATAAAAAATAAACAGGACCAATGCAGTGTAGACAGGCAGTTACAAACTGACAGAACCTCTTTATCAGGCAGTGGATGAAAGCATATATACTGAAGGTGACTAACCACTTGGCCTCCAGAGGATTGGCCTCCTGTGCAGTTTTTATTTTTTGCTCTATAAAAAACCCACAATTTTGAAAAAAAACCCAATATTTTTGACTTTATGTTATAAAACATACCCAGTAAAAATATAAAAAAATCTAATTTCTTCAAAAATTTAGGCCAAAATGTATTCTGCTACATGTCTTTACTAAAAAAAATCCCAATACATGTATATTAATTGGTTTACGTGAAAGTTATAGCGTCTACAAATGGCGATAAATATACCAGAATTTTTATATTATTTTTTTATACTAGCAATGGTGGCGATCAGCGACTTATATCGGGACTGTAGCGGGCATTCTGAAACTTGCGGGGAACTGACTAACTGCCACTGACATCCCAATGACACTAACACATTGATCAGTGCTAATAAAAAGCAGTGACACTGTATTAATGACACTGAGCAGGAAGGGGTTAACATCTTTGGCGATGAGAGGGTTAACTGTGTGCTGTGTTTTACAACATGTGATGTGTGTGTTTTACTTAGGAAACATGCTGCTGTATATTTGTTTGCTGTGCATGCTATTGCTCCCTTGTCAGTATTACTCGGCGATGTCCGGCCGGGACCCGGTGATTGAGATCTGTAGACACCAATGGCAGTGCGGGTTGGGCAGCGTGCACGCACCACTTTCTGGAGATGAAAATCATGTGTATATATATATATATATTTGCACAGCCCTGTTAACCCTGTAGCAGTATTTCTGCTATAGGGCAGCAGGCAACTGGTTAGCCAGTGTCAGGTGTGCAGGCTACAGGAAGCAGTGTTGTAGTGCCAGTAACTGTCTGGTGACAATGGAGAGCAATTCCAGCAACTCAAAATCTCTTAAGCCCCATTCACACCTGAGCGATTTTCTGCTTGAAGCTTGCAGCTCTAAAATGCTCAACAAGCCAAATCCAATTCATTTCAATGGCCCCTGCTCACATGTGGACGCTCCTGAAGAAAAATATCTGTCCAAAAAAAGTACATGAGCTTTTTTGGCAGATTACAAGTGTTTTTGGCCCCATAGACTTCAATAGAAACGCCTTAAGATGTGTGACATGAGCATTTTACAAGCATTTTGTTGCGCGTTTTCTGCTCAGACAGCAGCTCTCCACCCCTAATTTCCTCTTCTCCTCTCTTTAGTGCTTTCTATTGGATAAACCAAAACGCCTAAAGCTATAAAACGCTTGTAATACACTTCTAAAAACTCTCAAAAACTGTCAAATAAAAACAACAGTAAATCTCTATGCTCAGGTGTGAATGCAGCTTTACAGTCTCTACCCATGCATAATCTACGATCCAATTACACCAATAGGGAATTTGTTAAAATCATTATCAGTTGTCTCTTTGCAGCTATCCATTCGGATTTCACTGTTATCAGCTGTCCTGTAGTGAAACATCTGAGAAGTTGTTGATCAAGGAATGAGATCAATTCCTGCGACTTGTTTTACTAGAGGAGTTCAGCAGCTGCATCCAAGCCTTACATCACCAATTGCAGTGCAAAGCTTTGGAGGCAGTGGTCTAAAGCACGCTGCCACTGGACTCTAGAGTAGTGGAGATCTGTTCTCTGCAGTGTTGAATCACGCTTCTCTGTCTGGGTTTGGCGGTTGCCAGAAGAACGGTACTTCCCTGACTGCATTGTGCCAAGTGTAAAGTTTGGTGGTGGGTGATTATGGTGTGGGGTTGTTTTTCAGGGGTTGTGCTTGGCCCTTTAGTTCCAGTGAAGGGAACTCTTAAGGCATCAGCATACCAAGACATTTTGGCCAATTTCATGCTCACAACTTTGTGGGAACAGTTTGTGGATGGCCCCTTCCTGTTCCAACATGACTGTACACCAGTGCACAAAGCAAGGTCCATGAAGACATGGATGAGTGAGTTTGGGGTGAAGTAACTTGACTGGCTGATCTCAACCCAACAGAACATTGGTTGTCACCAGAACTAGTGTCCTGATCAGGAGATTACTGTTCTGATAATAACCCAAAATTTGGGATTTCCTTTCCTTTTCACTTTGAGTGATGACAGTAAACAGGCCAAATAGAGATGATGAATCTCCCTAAACAGGACACAGACAGCAGTAAAAACATGACATGTTTTAATCCCTCTCCACTCTGTCCAAAACTAAAAATAAAAGTTTTGTCTTTAGATGTGCTTATGTCTGATGTGCCTTATTGACGCTTGTAAACTGTGAATAGGTCTAAAGGCCAACCCCAATCCACTAAAATCATGTGCCCAGGTCCGCTGTATGTCAGAGCCAGAATATCTAGCAGTCTAGTAAAATTGGCATGCCTTCTTGTTATGAAAAGTGGACCTTACAAGGTATGCTCATTCAATGGTAACCCCCCCATGTAAAAATACCACATTACCAGTTGCACAGACCAGAGGTACCTAGAAGGGGCTGTTGTCATTGACCTTCTTTGGGGGTTCCTGAGATATGTTTCTACACATCTCAGGAAAGTGAGATACTTGGATCTTTTCAGAATTCAGTGAAGTCACCCTCTCCTAAAATGTAGATGTAAAGTATGTTTTTTAACTTTTCTTCTCATATGTGTTTTTTGTAAACTTGTAGTGTTTTTGCATGGTGGGTGGACCACTAATGAATGTACAGACCTCGGACTTTTCTGCTTTTTAATAATGATCACTGCTAAGATGTACATTTTGTTGTGCTTTCTTGTGTAGTATCCAGAAGGAATTGGAAAGTATGACTATATGCCAGGATTTGCTATCAGAGGACTTCACTATGATATACAAAAGGTAACTAGAACACTATATGATTTCTCTTTTAAGACAAAGGTGATTTCTATGTTGGCAATGATAACTGAATTTAGTGGACAGTTATCCACACTAATATAACTCAGCTTTGGCATGATACATTTTTTTTACTTTAAATTTAGCTTTTTTAAATTTAAATTTAGCCTTTAATTGCAGATTTTGTTTGAAATACAAAGCCATTTTGTATACCACACACTTATAAGGTTGTTTAATATAGTATTATCTATAGTACAGACACTGCAAACAGACAAATGGCTTTTACTGTATACCCAGACTGTTGTTTCATAAGGGGTGTTAAAAGACAGACATATTATATTCATATTACCCTGTATCTGGGCAGAGTCTACTGATGAAGATTGATGCTTTCCATTATATCCAGCTGGGAACAGCATACAGGTAACTGCATTGTTATCTAGTAGGTAGTAGAACACAGGTACCAGGACCCACACTAAGGGCTCGTTCCCACCAGATGTGTTTTCCAGTGCTGTCAAAATGTATGGACATTAGAAAAGCCTTTTTTCTTTAGTAAAGTCTGCTCACGCCATTTGGTTTAAGTAAAGTCCTGTGTGCTTCATTTTGGATGCAATAACCTGCAGTACAATTAATTTTAAATCAATTTAAATAAAGGTGAAAACATAACACGCCTAAAACAAATATGAACACACTTCAAGGTAAGTGTTTTGGTGTGAAGAAGCACTTACATCAGTTTTACTAAATTTTTTTTCTTTTCGACTTATTTTGATATTTTTAGTTATTTGGGATAATACCACACACCCATTTGCCATTTGTAAAGTGGTTGTAAAGATTCAAAGTTTTTTTACCTTCACGCATTCTATGCATGAAGGTAAAAAACCTTCTATGTGCAGCAGTGTACCCAGCCCCCTCAATACTTACCGGAGCCTCAGTGATGTGAGTGACAGCCTGGGCTGCCCCGGGTCTCTGCCTCCTCATTGGCTGAGACAGCAAGCGGGAGCCATTGGCTCCTACTGCTGTCAATCACAGCAGGTCAGCCAATGAGGAGAGAGAGGGGCCAAGTCACGGGTGTGAATGAACACACGGAGCAGCGGGTGCCCCCATAGCAAGCTGCTTGCTGTGGGGGCACTTGACAGAAAGGAGGAGCCAGCAGAGCCTGAGAAGAGGTGGATCCAGGCTGCTCTGTGCAAAACCAATGCACACAGTAGGTAAGTAGAGAATATTTGTTATCCCCCCCCCCCCCAAAAAAAATAAAAAATTAACCTTTAGAATCGCTGAAAGCTGAACTACAGGAAACCTAAAAATCCTCCCTTGAAGTGGGCCTTTGGTCACACTGCAAGAGTTAACTGCTCGTTTCTGTCTAGGATACTTTGATCCTCTGCAGGCTCCTTTGCACCGCTAGACTGGTTCTTGCAGCATCATCTCTCCTGTGGCCTTGCAAATTTAGGTCCTCTGACATCATCAACACCAATGCAAGGACCGTAGTCCTGTATTGAACGTGAGGACTTTAAGGAACTGTCCACCACCAGAGCATTGGGAAGCACCATCTGACAGGGGAGTGGAGGATTGGGTAAGTGAAAGTGCTTTTAAGTCTCCTAGACTAAAAGATAAATGGCAGTTAACCCTTGCAATGCAGGTCTTAAGTTGGGATTTAATTTTTTTTCAATTTAATGGCCATTCTGAAAGTTTTCCAGTAAGTTACATTTGAAACTTTTGTATTTCATACTCAGTTTGGTTTTGCCACACATGCCTAAACTCCATAAAAGACAATAAAAAGTTTTACAGTCTGATCACATTTTCAGTTTGGCCTAAAAAAAAATAAAAGTGATTGAAAAATGGTAGTTCTGTTTTGCATAGATCAGAGTGGAGTATTAAAAACCTTTGGAATATTAAACAGTTGGATCGATGCATGTGTGGGTCTCTGAGTGGGTGATGTGATTGTAGTTGGTGGGGTTGGCTTAGCTGGAGTGCTATCGCTTATCTCCCCTTATGGAACATTTTGAAAACTCACTTGTATGCTTTGTATAAGTGACATTTATGAATGAACATATGATTTTAGTTCAGTAATACTCAACCTGCAATTGCTTAGCTATTTCTGTGTGACTCTTCTACGTTTTGTGAAGTAAGTTATTTTTCGTTGAAATTTGTTCAGAAAATGTCTGCAGTAGCTTTGCACTGTACATATTTTTCAGTAATACTGTTGGCATACTTGGCACAATTTGTAGTACACGTGATCGTGATTATAAAATTGTTGGTTAAAAATTACAGTGTTAGAATTAAAATGAATAGCCCATTATAATGTAAAATAACAAAACCAGCTTTTGCTGCAATATTTAACTTTAATCCAGAGATTCCCTTTGCAGTACTTTATTTCTTTTGCTAAATACCCTCAGTCACTGGCCAGCATCATTCACCCTACTTCCTGGGTTCACCCTAACCTGTTAAAGGACAGTGGAAGAGGAAGCAGCACGGTGAGGAGCTCAGCTCTCTATGACTCTGCTCTTTGCTATGAGCAGCATGCTTCTTGATAGTCCATGAACTGATTGGCTCCCTGTGCTGCTATTTTCTCTCCAGAGAAGCTGCAGGAGAGTGATATAGGGTCAACATCTTGCAATGACACTGTTTTCAGAGAGAAAAAAAAAAACATTTTTATATCTGCCTAGAGCTCATTTTTAAAAAATTTTAAGTTTAAGCAATAGTTAAAAGCAAAGTATGGGGTTATGTTTTTTTTTTTAAAATCATACTTACCTAGGTGGATGCATCATCAGTCCATCCAGCTCTAAGTGTGAGAGCTCAGTGATCCCTAAAATCTCACTGCCACTGTGAGCAGAGAGCGGTGACTGTCAGTCACCGCTGTCTGCTCTGCTCCCTCGTGGTCACTGAAGCGCTGGGCTGTGGAGGGGGAGGAAGCGGCTGGCTCAGGCTCTCAGAAGCTCGCTAAGAGGCTGAGCCAGGTGCCAGTCCAGATATGTGGGTGGATCCAGACTTTAAAGCTGTCAGCTGAAAATTGGTCACACGAGCAGTACGAACTTTCTGTCAAATTTGCACTCTACACTTTTCTTTTTTAGAAACATCAGAGATGCATTTTGATGAATTATTTACCCCTCTTACTTTGGGGACCTTTTTTTATGACAATCAGAGGACAATGTAAAACATACCTAACATTAGTCAATGGAATAGAAAGGGTTTAAAATTTTGAAGAGGTTGGGTTTTTTTTTTTTAAAGAATTGCGCTCTGTTCACTATACACTTATTATTTAATCATTCACCTAAGTTTCATTGAAACTGCAGCATTATTAGAGTGATTTGGTAACATTTGAATCGTCCGTCTGAACCAGGTAAATCTGAGTATGCATTTGATGACACATTCACCACTAGTTCGCAATATTTAATCATAAAATATGAATGTTCAAAAGGTGACAATCGTGCTCTGGAGGTGATTGCTTCATGTACACATAGGATAACATTAGTTGCTTCTACAGGCAAAACGCTAAACTCCTCTAGGAGCAGCGTTTTTTTTCAGCCACTTTGCATGGAGCCTAACACCACACCAGTGTTCCTCCACTGCATGCATACCAAAACATACTTACTGGACTATTTTGACCCTCTGTATAAGGGAAGCCAGGTAGCACTTAATGGAAAGAAACCTCCATAGTAAGGTGCAATACTCGTCACCCTCAGATATACTGGTCACCTTCCGGTTCTCAAGTACACTAATGAAAAGAAAAACCAAGGATATCACATAGTGTAAAACCATCCAGGTAAATAGTTTATTCGATTAGAACTGAATATCAACAAGAGCAAGATCACAAAAACAGAAAATGATGATTTTGAGCTTGATGGCAATAGACTAGTTGTAAAGCATTTTAATCTCCTGGGCTCTTTCATAAACAAAGAAGCAACTAGTAGTGACTAAATACTCTGCAGGATTTCACTTGGTAGCCATACAAAGAAGACTAAAATACACTTAAAATGAAGATCAGATTCATCCATTCACTCTTCACAATTGTCAATTATGGCTGTGAAAGCTGGACACAATGAAAACTGCACATAAAGAAGATAGTCTTATTTGAGCTTTGGTGCTGGAGAAGGATTTTATGCCTGCGGTGCACAGTCCATAGAATATTTCAGTTCTGAAAGAGATCAAACCAGCTATATCACTAGAGGTCCAAATGAAATTATGATTGTCCTATTTTGGTCACACTGTTAGAAGAGAGAGTTAACTGGAGAGGCAAATAATGTTTAGGAAGATTAAAGGCACCACGCAAAGAGGGATATCAGCTACTAGATGGTTGGACACATTGACTACAGCTGTGGGGATGACACTAGAAGATCTCACCAGACACTAGAAGATCTCACCAGACTAGCACATAATCAGCTTCTTTTTAGAACTCTCATTCATCAAGTCGCTAGGACTCGGACCTGAGTTGACAGCACTTTAAAAAAAATAGTTTATTAAAATGTACCAAGGTACTCACATAAGTAAAAACATACAGCGCCTGTAGTAAACAAAAAGCTTGTCCCTGGAGTACAGCAGGCCACTTCTGGACTCCGTTTGCATGATGACATAATGGAAGCCATGTTCGTTCATCACGCAGTATTCATCCCGAAAGAGCAACAGGAAATCAGCAATGCAGTATGGACAATTAATGTTCCAGGCCTCACTTAGAAGTAAATAGGAAATTGCTCTCTCATAATAGACTTTCAGGAGGATTCAAGCCCCTTGTAAAATCAGAGATGACATAAATAGAAATATACCACCTAGTGGGCTAATTATGCAGACCAAAGGAAAATTATACAAACAAAAACAGATTACCTGGGCTTTAAAATATATATTTACATATAATAGATAATAAATCAGTTTCCTGATGTTGGTTCTTTTCAATAATAAAACAGTGAAATACAGTAACAGACAAGAAATAAATATACCAATTTGAAAACCAAAATGGATGACATATAAAATAGAAAATTGAAGTTGATAAAAATACATATGCAAGAGAGACACAATTTAGTTAAATAGCATCAATGGGCAATAAGCAAGAATGTGTAGTGGGAGGTCATGCACTGTTGATGAATGCGTTGACATCTCACTCCACATTCATGCCTTGAGGGGAAAAGGCCCTCATTTCATAAATCCAGCATGTTTTCGATTGAGGAAGGAGTACCCCGAGGATCCTTGTTGTGGCAGGCTGTGTAATGTTTAGGAACACTGTGTCCCATATACCCCTTCTTGAAGTTAATAATATGTTCGTTCAGCCGCCCACTCAAAGATCTCAAGGTCCCCCTCATGTATTGCAAGCCACAAAGACATTGCAGAAGATAGACCACGTTGGAGGTGATGAAACTTTTGATGGGGTACACTTGAGACGAGACCGTAGAAAAGAGCATAGAAGCTTTTTATGGCCTAACTGGTTGATCTTACAGACAGAACATTTTTTGCAAGGAGAAAATCCTTTGAGGTTATGAAAAAAAAGGTTTAGATGTTGGATAAAAAGGTTCAGCGCAGTTTTGCTCTGCAGTGAAGGGGCTCCCCTGAATACCACCTTAGGGACAGGGAAGCAATGGACCCAAAACCTTGTCATTTTTTCAGCACAGACCAATGACAGGAAATAATCCTCTTAATCATTGGGTGCTGAGCAGAAAAAAGATGTAATAAAGACCACCCAAATTTTTCGGTCAGTCAGTTTGTGCGTAGCAGAACCTCAATTCATAGACTTAATTGACAAGATATCAGATTCAAGTAAGTCCTCTCTATATCCTTTTTCTACAAAACCTTCTTTTAAGACATTAGCCTATGTCTTAAAATCTTGCATTTTTGAGTAAATGGGTACAAGGGACTGACTTTGACCAAGCATGATGGTGGCAATTGTCCATGGAGATGATTGAATTGCGGTCCGTAAACTTAAAAAAAAATTCTCGTAACTATCCTATGATTTTCAACCCTGATTTTAAGGCCCAGAAAATGGATATCTTCAGAACTGGCTTCTTCAAAGCAGAGGAAAATACCTTGATCGTTTGCTTGGTCCCCTATGGGCATAGTAATGTCCTCCTCCCACTTGGCTCTCTATAAATAGGGTGGTTCTGCTAGTTGATAAGAACAAACAGACTGATTTTGAAAAATTCAGGCGGTCTTTTATTGCATCTTTTTCTTTTCAGCACCCAGTGATTAAGAAGATTATTAATTGTCAGTAGTCTGTGCTGAAAAATGACCAGGTTTTGGGTTTATTGGGTTTTTGGGTTTATTGCCTACCTACTGTGAGTGGGCAGATTTCTTGTTTTACTTCATAGTGAGGTGTAGAACATTAATTGTTCTGCCTTATTTCTGGTTTACTGCTGCTCTTTCTGGATAAATATTGCATGATGAACGAACATGGCTTCCATGTCCCAGAAGAAAGCCCTTGTGACATAATCCGTAGAGCAGTGCCAACGTTTGTAAAGTTATCATGCAATCAGAGTCCAGAAGTGTCTCGCTTTACTGCTGGGAATGGCTTTACTTACTAGAGGCACTGTATGTTTTACTTATGTAAGTATTTCGGTACATTTTAACCCCTTGCCCTCCAGAGGATTTACCCCCCTTTCTGACCAGGTGCTGTGTTACTTTAACTGACAATTGCGTGGTCAACGCTGCACCCAAATTAAATGTACATCCTTTTTTTCCCCCACGAATAGAGCTTTCTTTCTGTGGTGTTTGATCGCCTGTGCATTTTTTGTTTTTTGTCTTATAAAAAAATGACCAATAATTTTGAGAAAAAAAACAATATTTTTGACTTATTGCTATTAAACATGTCCAGTAAAAAAATCAAATTTCGTCATAAATTTAGGCCAAAATGTATTCCGTTACAAGTCTTTGCTAAAAAAAATTCCCAACACGTGTAAATTATTTGGTTTACGTGAACGTTATAGCGTTTACAAATGGCGGTATATATACTGGGATTTTTTTTTTTTTTTTTACTAGCAATGGCGGCGATCAGTGACTTATTGCGGTACTGCGTTGGGCATTCTGACACTGCGGGGAACTGACTTGGTGACACTGACATCTCCAGTGACACCAATACAGTGATCTGTACTAATAAAAAGCACTGACACTGTGCTAATGGCACTGGGCAGAAAGGGGTTAACATGTGGGGGGATGAAAGGGTTAACTGTGTGCTGTTTTACTGTAAGCTGTGTGTTTTCAACTGTAAGCATGGCGAGCCATACAAGCAGTGTGCAGGAGTCGATGTGAGAGAACTGCATTGTTTACATACAGTTACCTTCCCCCCCATCAGTAATGCTTGGTGATCACCGGTTGCTGGCAAGTAATCACCGGCTGGGACCCGGTGATTGACAGCCGAGACCATGAATAGCAGCGCGGGTAGGGCACGTGCACCCCCTACCTGGAAATGCAAAATCACGTGAAAATATACGTGATTTTGCACACCCCTGCCGCCCTGGAGCAGTATATCTGCTATAGGGCATCAGGGAAGCAGATAAAAATAGTCAGTGCTGATTGAGAAAGTGAAGTTTCACTTCAACCAATTCGCGCAGAGAGTTAACATATATGCGGCCTCTCGGCGGGTGGGTCATGATGCCGAGAGGTCGCATATATGTGTACCTAAATTTTAACAAACCTGTTCTGAAAGCCACCAAAACCCAAAGAGTGCCACCTAAGTGCAGTCACTAAAAAGTGCTTTCCATTACTTTTACTGTCCAGAACAGCTCTATGCCATGAGATAACTTTCACTATGGGGCCAACTGAGCCAACTCACTTGAACAGCAGTTAATAATTTACTTGGATGGTTTTATGCTATGTGGTACCCTTGGATTATCTTTTCATGAGTGCACTTGAGAAGAGATCTAAGGTTGAAGAGTACTGCACCTTACCACTGAGGCTTCGTTACAATAAGCTTTACCTGACTTCTCTTACATAAATGGTCAAAATGGTTCGGTAAACATGTTTTATTAGGCTTACAGTGGAGGAACACTGTGGTGTGGTCTTAAACATTTGAAGAGCTACGCTTCTTTTTTCTTATGGAAGAATACATTGCAAGTTAACTGTATCACATGATTTGGATGGTGGATTTATTTTTGTGGATTTATATTCAGGAGAACTTATTTTTTTATGATTTTTTTGTGCACATTTGATTATATTTGGTTGTAAAACTTTTTTAGGGTCACCTTAATAGATTTTTTGAGCGCAGCAATTATTTATGTGAATTGCTTTACCAATTGCTTTCTGTTTGTGTGCTAGCAGCTGAGATTTATTACACTCTGTAGCGATTGTTTGTTAATTTCTGACACTTCTATTGATGCGATGTTTTCAGTGCTGTGAATATGAGAGACACAGCTCTCATACACCAAAGCATTTAATACTACCCTATTCCACAGGATGACAACACTGCAGTGCAGTTTGACTGCAGAAGGAACAGCCCTGTAACTCTGTACTAGCAGGATCAATGAGTAATAAAACAGTGTTGCAGGGTGTAATTAATCATATCATATGTCATGTTTGATCTAGCTCATAGTTACACTTTAACTTAAATGCACTTGATAAGATACTGCAGTCGGCTTTCTTACAAGCCTTGCAACAAGATTTGTTAATTTGAAATACAATTATAAAACTGAAATTATGCAGTGTGTAATAAAGCATGTGTTCACAAGAATATGGTTTCAGTGAGGATATTTCAAAATCCTGAATACTGGTCTGGGCATGTAAGCTTTGAAATCATTGTATGATTTCTCAGCAGATAGTCATTAAAAGTATTACATTTATTATGTTTGTTATTTGGCCAAAGGTGCTGATCTTTTTTCACAGCTAATGCAGTAGTACCCTGAAGTTATTTAGAGATAGGGACTAGATTAATAAGCCCACATTATGTACACTGCTATAAGTCAGTGAAACTGATTTCAACTCCCAGAAAACAAAGTACATTTTGTATTTGTTTTTCTTCTGGGAATGTTATGAAAATCCTGCAATCTGTGCCAGCCTGTCCCTGTGCCAGCAGCCACCCTGTGCTTTCCCTATTCCTTCCTTTATTAAGTGTATCTGCTGAACGTTGACCTAGTTGTTAATGTTAATTTCTGATATTGCCATTCACAGGGGTCTCAAGGCTGTTCCAGATGAGGAAGTCATAGAATCATATGGGGGCACCCCACATATCCCCCTTTTCCAGATGAGTGATTTCTATGGAAAGGTATTAGTTGTTAAACATAAAAGCAGTACATTCATTTCACTCGCAGCTTTATAAATTGTTGTCTTTAAAAGAATTACACTTTAATAATATGTTTTTGAGAAACAAATAGATAACATGATATGTCTGGTTAATGGTTCTTTAGAACTCGCTTGTCTTTGGAGTTTTTGCTAATAAAAAGTTGAAAAAAAATTAACTGGCTTGGTGGCCTCTACACTTGGACACATATAGGAGGAACAAGAGGAATAGTCTGTGTGTGCTCTGGGTGACTATCCCTCCAGGTGGAAGGTTATTAAAGGTGAGGCCAGAATTGTAGGAGTAACTGAAGATATGAGGTTTGATTTCTTTTTTCTTCCAAATACTTTTTGAGTTTTTTTATATTAATTACATGGTTAGTCTGGCTGAAAAAATACACATCTAGGTCAACCAAAAAAGGAAAAAAAATTATATTCTATACCCACAGTTGATCCAGAGGAAGGCAAAAAACCCCAGCAAAGCAGGATCCAATTTGCTTCTGCAGGGGAAAAAAATCCTTCCTGATCCTCCAAGAAACATTTGGATATTCCCTGGATCAACTTTACCTATAAATGTTAGTATCCAGTTATATTATGTGTGTCTAGGAAAGAATCTATGCCTCTTTTAAAGCAATTTACTGAGCTGGCCAAAACCAACTCTTCCACATTTTCACAGCTCTTACTGGGAAGAAATCTTTCCGTATTTGGAGATTAAATCTCTTTTCGATGACCTTAAGGTGAATAACTCTACACTGAGTTCGCTATATGGACCACTGATGTATTTATACATGTTGATCATATCCCTCCTTAATCTCCTCTTCTCAAGAGAGAATAAATTCAGTTCCTCTAATCTTTCCTCATAGCGGAGCTCCTCCATGCCTCTTATCAGTTTGGTTGCCCTTGTCTGCACTGTTTCAGTTCCATGATATCCTTTTTTTGAATTGGTGCCCAAAACTGAATTGCTTATTTCAAATGAAGTATTACTAATGATTTGTACAGGGGCAAAATTATATCTCTCTCCCTCTCTCTCTGCAGTCTATACCTCTTTTAATAGAGGATTTACTCGCTTTGGAAACTGCAGCTTGGCATTGCATGCTATTATTAAACTTATGATCTACCAGAACACCCAGATCCTTCTCCATCAATGAGTTCCCCATTTGTAATCCCCTTAGTATGTAAGATGCATGCATATTTTTAGCCCCCAAGTGCATAACTTTACATTTATCAACATTAAACTCATTTGCCACATATAGATTATAGAGATAGAATATCCGACACAGGGTGATTACTGTGGGTTTATATGCAACGCTCTCAAGTTTCACGTCCTATCTAAACTATTGGGAAAAAAGAAGGACCATTTGGTGGACTTTATAGGCACTACAACAGTGGTAAATAAAAGTATTGCTTTATTGAACATACATAGACGTATAACAATACATATAGTTAATAAAATCCACTGCAGAGAATGTACTCCCATAGTCTATGGAATTGTACATTCAATGCAGGTGCATATAGTATTGGTACATTCCACAATAAAAATGTACTGTAACCCAGTAAAAGTTTGAAAACAGATACTCTGATATTAATGGCTGTAGTAACTCGACATGGTTCGCGATAATATCGCTTCCTCAGGAGCTGTGAACAGATGTCTACATAAAGAAAATAGTATAGATTTATAATAGTATAGATTTATAAACAACATTCTACATTGACCAATATTCATAATGCAGATCGATTGAGTGGATTATCATACCTTAATCTACAGACATCTGTGCAAGGGATGTGAAGGAGGGCCTCTAGACTTCCCATGCGGGGTCAGTCAGTGAGGGGATCCCAACAAACCAAGGGGAAGGCAGCAACCTCCCCAAGGCTTCCTGACGTACAAAAAATATGCAACTGTTAAGAAACATGATGGGTGCCTCCTAGGTGGTGAATAAGAATGTGTAGATGTAAGAATTGGATTAACCTCCCCACTAATAGGGATGCACTAGGGCAGTGATGGCGAACCTTTTTGAGCCCGAGTGCCCAAACTGCAACCCAAAACCAACTTATTTCTTTCAAAGTGCCAACACTGCAATGAAACCTGAATATCGAGCTTTTGGTTTAGAAAAAACAACTCGTACAGTAGTGCAAACTAATTAACAGCTTTTGTCTTAAAAGAAAAACACAATAACAGAGCTTTCAATTATACAGGAGATGACCAGAGACTGCGGACACAGTACAGGAGATGACCAGAGACTGCGGACACAGTACAGGAGATGACCAGAAGACTGCGGACAGTACAGGGATGACCAGAGACTGCGGACAGTACAGGGATGACCAGAGACTGCGGACACAGTACAGGAGATGACCAGAGACTGCGGACATAGTACAGGAGATGACCAGAGACTGCGGACACAGTACAGGAGATGACCAGAGACTGCGGACACAGTACAGGAGATGACCGGAGACTGCGGACACAGTACAGGAGATGACCAGAGACTGCAGACACAGTACAGGAGATGACCAGAGACTGCGGACATAGTACAGGAGATGACCAGAGACTGCGGACACAGTACAGGAGATGACCAGAGACTGCGGACACAGTACAGGGATGACCAGAGACTGCGGACAGTACAGGGATGACCAGAGACTGCGGACACAGTACAGGAGATGACCAGAGACTGCGGACAGTACAGGAGATGACCAGAGACTGCGGAAAGCACAGGGGATGACCAGAGACTGCGGAAAGCACAGGGATGACCAGAGACTGCGGAAAGCACAGGGATGACCAGAGACTGCGGACAGTACAGATGACTGCTGACCTTTGGGGAGGGAGGGGGAGCGGGTACCTGAATTTGACAGGTACCCGCTCTTACTTCCGCAGAGTTTTTTTTTATCTTACCTGTTCCTTTATCCAGCCGCGCGCTGTCTTCCCGGCTTCTGTAGTGTGGGCGCTCGTCGCACAGCCGGATGCCCAGTGCGCATGCGCGAGAAGCGCTGCGCTTTGTGATTGGTCCGGCGGCTTCTGGGATCTGTCATGTGTCCCAGGTACCGCCTTACCATTCACAAAGAGCACTGCTTCTTGCGCATGCGCACTTGGGACCCGGCTGTCACGCACACTACAGAAGCCGGGAAGACAGCGCGCCGCTGGATAGAGGGACAGGTACGGTCCCACTGCAGAGCTGAGCGGCCGGCCCGGTATTCTGACACGGCGGCGGTGGAAATACCGGACCGGCCGCTCTATATTCGCTCCATAAGACGCACTGACATTTTCCCCCCTTTTTTGGGGGAAAAAAAGTGCGTCTTATGGAGCGAAAAATACGGTATTCTCCTGGCGTGCCCACAGATAAGGCTCGGCGTGCCGGCTGTGGCGCGCGTGCCACGGGTTCGCCATCACTGCACTAGGGTCACCAGTTCTGTTCCCAACTAGTGAGGATACAATTACATCACCAATTCTGGTCCAAATAGAGTACATGCAAGGGAAATTAGCAATAAGCTAGTATAATATATATAAAAAAAGAGGATACAAAAAGTGGAGGAAAACTTGAATGTCACTCGATCAATAGAAGGAATTAACCCCATCGGTGCCCCACCACTACCATATTTCAAACCAGTAATTAATAAAGATCCAATATGCAGGGAGAAAAATCCTACCTACGTACAGTATATTAAAACCAAACCACAGGAAAAGTTCCCCGATGTGATGGCACAGTATTTGCGTTGGGATAGTCAAATGGGGTAAAAAATGCCAACACTGCCTCACCCAACAGGGCCTGTCCAAAAGGGACCCGTGTTGTCACACCATCACGGCCTTGAAGACCGCCACACATCGTCCCAATTTGAGGCAACTTTGCATGGGATGCCCGCAACGCGAACCCACCACAACAATGGCGGTGGGCACGCACACACCTGCAACACAGCGGCCATTTCTGACCATCACCGCAGTTGCAGCAATGGCCAGCAAGCGCCGTAACGCCAGGCCAACCCCCATACTGTTGCACGGGGCCAACCCCGCCACGGCGCCACTCTCCGCCCACTGACCAAGGGCGACAGCAGGGACACCGAACCCTCCTCTTAATGGGTCCTCCAAAGGGGACCTAGGCCCCCACACACATGCCTGCAAACATAATCAAATCATGAACCGGTTACAATATATCTACTGTATATATATAGTGACAAATGTAGCCATATTAATAACAGTACTTGGAATGAATCACAATTGGGAACCCGGACCATAATAGAGCAGAACTTATAGAAATGGTTTGTAAGACAAAGTTTCATTAATACCTGGCGGAAATTTAGCATTTAACTGTTCAATCCAGAATGCTTCTTTTTGCAATATGTGCTTATCCCAATTACCACCCCTAGGATCTTTTGGAATAACTTCTAATACCAAAAACGAAACCATTGTAGTATCAAATCTATGGTATTAATCTAGATGTCTACTGACTGGGGTGATGATTTTGCCATTACAGTAATACCTCGGTTTACGAATTGAATTAGTTCTGCGGGACTTTTCGTATAGCGAAAAATTTGGAAACCGAAACACCGTTTCCCATAGAAATTAATTGAAAACCAATTAATCCGTTCTGGAGGAAAAAAAAAAAAGTATTTTATCTGTTCAAAACTCTTTATAAAGTGCACTGTTTAAAGGCATAAATACTGTACAGGGACAGAATTACTCAAGCAATAACATTTTAAACATCAATTTTTAAAGCACCACACATCAACTTTTAAAACATGGCAAACTTTTCAAAACAATTTCAACACTTTTTGGAAGAGGAGGAGGAGCAGGGCAATTGGGCAGCACTAACACAAGCAGGTTCTTCTTCATGTCTAGGCTGTTTTAGTAGGAACCTTTCCATTGTCTACTGCCTCCGGCGCCTTTTAAGCATCCCTCCGAAAGGGGACATGATGTCGATGTCAAAACTGTTCACAAGTCTCTGGGCTAGAGCCTTATCTGGGTGCTGCTGTACAAAAGTCTGTAGGTTTACCCACATTTGGCAT